TCGTGGGTTACTATTGTCAAATCCGAAGGGCTCCGGAATGGTTGCAGCTGGCGCACCAGAGGTATTTGTGCAAATGCATTCCGAGGCACACAGCTGTCCCCCAAAGACAGCTGGCAGACCAGGAAATCTCCAATTCTTGGGTCTGGTTTCCTACTAGTCAAACAGCACATCTGCTAATTTAATTTGAGCTTCTTCGCTGAACCCGAGGTGACAGCCAAGCGTATCAAGTGATCCCTTGAAGTTAAAACAGCAAAGGGCTAGACAGTTCTCAATGTATTAGAAGCCCCTCCCATCCAACACTCATCTTGTAAAATGATGATTAAAATTGTGTTAACAGAGGGGACAGAATAAAAGATCACGTGAAGCTCTAGGGCTGCTTTACAAAGCCTTAGTAAGACCACGTGCTTGGAATATGGCATCCAGTTCTGGTCACAATATTAAAAAAAAAAAAGATATTGAGACCAGAAGTGGTAATTCAGCCGGTTCTGGAGAACTGGTAGCAGAAATGTTGAGTAGTTTGGAGAACCGGCCAATCCCACCTCTGACTGGCCCCGCCAACCCCATCTATTCCCTGCCTCCCATCAACTCCCAGCTGATCGGCTGGGTCTCCTTTGGTTGCCCTGCACAGGAGAACGGAGCTGGAAAGCAGGTTAGTGGGGTGGGGAGGGAATGAGGATTTTGCAGTATCCTTCCCCTGCCACGCCCACCAAGCCACGCCCACAGAACCAGTAGTAAAAAAAAAAATTGAATCCCACCACTGATTGAGACTCTGTAAAGAGCGCAGAGAAGGGCAAAAAATACGATTAGAGGGCTGGAGGCTAAAACATACGAGGAACATGGTTGCAGGGATTGAGTATGTCTACTTTAGTTTCCTTTATTGTCATTGCACCTCGAACAATTAAACACCATCTTCATTGCACATTATGTCTATGAAAATAAACACAAACACACATCCTTCACATTCTATACAACTGGATTGAAAACCCCCGATATTGCATTCATATCGCACTATTATACAGTAGAATTCAATAGAGTTCCTGCCCTGGGATAGAAGCTATTTTTTTTCCAGCCTATTTGTCCTTGTTTTTATTATCCTGTACCGTCTCCCCGACGGTAATAGTTAAAAAAAAGGGGGGGTGCCTAGGATGAGATGGATCTTTAAGGGTGTTTTGAATTTTCTTAAGGCAGCGGGAGCTATACTCTAATGAAAAGAAGGACTAAGGGAGATTTGAAGGCGGTGTTTCAATATTTAATGGGCTCCTACCAAGATGAGGGAGAGGGCCAAACTATTTTTTCCAAAGCACCAGAAGGCAAGACAAGAAACAATGGTTGGAAACTAACCAACATTAAGGAGGAATGTTCTAACAGTGAGAGCAAATAGCCAATGGAATAGCTTGTCTTCAGAAGTTGTGCGTGTTCCATCACTGGAGGCAACCATTTGTTTCCAATGGTATAGCGTCTTCTGCTTGAGAAGACGACTTCAGAGGTCCCTTCCAACTGTGTTATTCTATGTCCTAATGTCATGTAGATTATTAATATGGGAGGTGAGATGAAACCAGTTGATGTAGTTGAACATGCATCTCTCATCCAGTTCTGAACAAGTCATCCTCCAAGATCACCATGATCCCAGTCTATATCGTTGCCAGAAGTCTGATAGACATGAGTCTACATCAGCCATACAGGTAGTCCTTGACTTATGACCACAGTTGAATCTAAAATTTCCATCGCTTAGACAAGACAGTTGCTAAGTGAATATTTTGCCCCATTTTACAACCTTCCTTGCCAGAGTTGTTAAGTGAATCACTGCAGATATTAGTACGATGCATCCCTTACTATTCCCTGATGAGCCACTCAGCCAGGCCCCGTCTTGGTTATCTTCCAAGCTCAAACCAAGTAGGCTAGATGTTGCTCCCATGAACTTAAACCTTCTTTTGGCATGGATTCTTCAAAGTTGCACAGGAAACAGCCTTAAAAAAAAAAAATCTGTTTTGGTGCCCACAATTTTCTTCACTTCGTATCTGTAGCTTCCAAATATCCTTTAACGTTCTGTTTTGATTTTTTTTGCTCCCAGTATCTTATGGTCACCTTTATTTCTAGCTCTTTCACCCCACTTTTTAATTTAATGGCCCTGGTTCCTTAGCCAATCAACCTTCTAATTCACCCAAGAACAATAAGCATAAGCGCATCATTGTGTCTACCGCCCCTGTCCTATTGTCCTCAATTATTAGTAACTATTTCATGTATTTATACTTATGTTTATTCTTGTTTCTATTATATTGTAAATGTTTGACAAATAAAATAAGTAAATAAATAAAATAAGTGCTGAGAAATTCTCTGATCCTCTTTTTCTTCCGTTTCCAATCTTCTTCCCTATTATTGGTTTCCTTCTTTGGGCATTTCATTTTCTTTGGCTCAGCACTGTTCTGATTGTCCTTCTCTATTTTATCCCCTACGCTGTTGTTCTTTCAGGCTGATCATTAACCTGAGCTGTCAGTCCCAGCCACAGATTTTGCTTTCTTTCCATTTCTCTGGAAGCACAACCTGCATTCCGTTCATTTTCTGGCCAGTTAAAATGGCTGCTGGATGATCCGTGCTAGGAACTTAAGATTAAAACCAGAAGAGACACCCCGTAGTCTACTTCTGCTATGGGCCAAAGGCCAGATTCTTAGTTCTACCTGGAAAGTGAACTCAAAAGAAAACAAAATATAATTTCTACAATTCTCTAGCAGCTTTCCAGGGAAAAAAACAGTCCCCGTCACTGTCCCAAAGGTGCTTTTCCAGGAAGCAACTGGACTTTTTGGTTGTTGTTTTTTTCTTTTGAAGATGTTTTGCTTCTCATCCAATAAGCTTCTTCAGCTCTGACTGGATGGTAGGGAAATGGAAGGATTGCTATTCAAGGAGTCATTGGCATCCTTTTAGAGGGTCACTGAGGCCACTTGGAAGTTTTATCTGTTGAGGACACCCGAGTGATGCTCCTGGTTCTATAGCCTACAATTTTTTTTCCTCTGGAAACCCATTCCCACTCCCACACCATTCCAAGGGTGTTGATCCCACATTGTACGGCTAAAAGTTTGTAGAGATTCTCCATCATCCAAGCCTGGGTTGTTCCAAAGGTGCTTTTTTTTTCCAGGAGGCAGCTGGAGTTTCTGGTTTTTTTCTTTTCTTTTGAAGACATTTCGCCTCTCATCCAAGAAGCTTCTTCAGCTCTGACTGGAGGGTGAGGAATGGAAGGATTGATATTCTTTGCTAATGACCTCTAATTATATTTGTCCCCCAATGACCAGCTGTCTGCAAGGAGTAGAAATCCTTCCCTTCCCCACCATCCAGTCAGAGCTGAAGAAGCTTCTTGGATGAGAAGTGAAATGTCTTCAAAAAAAAGAAGAAGAAGCAAGTCCAGTTGCCTTCTGAAAAAAGCACCTTTGGGACAATCGTGACCTGGGTGACTGAGAATCTCCACAGACTTTTAGCTATACAACTTGGGATGGACACCCTTGGAATGGATTTCCAGAGGGAAAAAATGCAGACTACAACATTTGCACTACTCAGGTGACCTTGAGGACACAGAGAAACCTCCAAGTGGCCTCAACAACCCTCTACAAGGATGCAAATGACCAGCTGTCTGCAAGGAATATAAACCTTTCCCTTCCCCTCCATCCAAAGCTGAAGAAGCTTCTTGGAGGAGAAGCGAAACGTCTTCAAAAGAAAAACCAAGAAAGTCCAGTTGCCACCTGAAAAAAAAAAGAAAGAAAGCAACCATGGGGACAAACCAGGACCTGGAGGATTGGAGAACCGCTACAGGCTTTTTAGCAATTTCTTTTTAGCTCTTTTGGGCCGTCTCTCTGCCCTTTTGCAAAAAGGAAGGTCGGGGCAGCAGCCCGTGGAGCAAGGCAAAGGCTGCAGACACAAGCGCCGTTTCCTCGGGCGCGTGGGATGCGATGCCTTTTCAGGGTGGGGTGGGGGCGCTTGAACTCGGCTCCAGAGCAGGCTGCACAGTTCGTGCCTCGGAGCAGGAACCACGTCCCGCCACGGCTGGAAGATTTCAAGACGGGGGATTAAAGATCCGCACACGCTCCTCTCTCTGCCTTTTGCAGCCCGGACCTCGCACCGTCCCCCCCCCGGCGGCCCTTTGGCTTCCAGGCGGCGGCGGCGCCCCCCCCCTCTCCGCTGCACCGCTTCCCCATCCCTACAGCCCGGGGGGGCTGGGGGGGAAGCTTCTGCATCACGTCGGGAAGGCGTGCACACGTGTCCCGCTCCCAGGGCGCGGGAAGAAGCCCGTGCAAGCAACGCTTCTTCCCCCCTTTTTTGCAGAGGCAGACGCGCCCGGCTCCCAGTTTGCAAGGGTGGGGGTGGGGCAGGTTCCTCCCTTTATAGGAAAGGCGTGAGGGGGGGGACACGTCTCCCCTCGCCCCTCCAACCACCCTCTCAGCGGGGGTTGGGAACCATGGGAGATGTCGTCCTCCCAGACCCAGCGGAGGAAAGGAAGCGGCGCTCCACCGCCTCTGAAAGGTCCCCGTGAGGGGAATGTGATGGGGGGGGGGAACGCTGCGCGCGCACGCGAGGGCGAGACGGCGCGCGAGGATGCGCGCGCATGCGAGGGCGAGACGGCGCGCGCGCGACAGGGAGAGAGAGAGTGAGAGAGAGAGAGTTAGAGATAAAGTTGAGGCGGTGGGGGGGGGAGAAGAGTCAGCGCGGCCTCGCCCTTGTAGCAGCGAAGCGGAAGAAGGGAGCGGGCGGAAGACGTCACCGCTACGGCGGGCGGCCTCTCTCTCTCTCCCTTTCCCTCTCTCTCCCCGTCCTGCAGGGAAGGGAAGAGGGCGGAGCTTTTAAGTTCTGTGAGGGTGGGACCTAGCTTCCGGCGGCGGATGTCATTAGCCGCGCGAGAGCGCGCGCAAGGCCCGCGCGCAAGCCAGGTGACTGCCGGAAATCGGGCGGCCGCGGCTTGAGGCGGGGCAAGAGCCGCCAGGCCAGGCCAGGGCGGCGCGCTCTCCCTCGCTCGCTCGCTCTCCCTCCCCTCCCCTCCCCCCTCCCTCCCTCCCTCGGGGGCGCGCGTGCGTGCGTGCCTTCGCGTGGACGCGTGCGCCTGAGCGACTGAGGGGAGAGAGAGAGAGAGAGAGAGAGAGAGGGCGAGCGCGAGAGAGGCTGAGGAGGGAAGCGAGGCGGGCGGGCGGACGGACGGACGGGCGGGCGGGCGGAGGAGGAAGGCAGACCGGGCTGGGCCTGACGGCGGCAGAAGGAGGAGGACTCGGAGGAGGACTCGGGCGGAGAAGATGGCGGACGGGGACAGCGGAAGCGAGCGAGGCGGCAGCGGCGGCGGCGGAGTAGGCGGCGGAGTAGGAGGAGGAGGTGGAGGCGGCGGCGGCGGCTTCCAGGGCCACCGTGGAGGCGGCGGCGGCGGCGGCGGCGGCGGCGGGCCCGGCCCCGGCCCGGAGCAGGAGACGCAGGAGCTGGCCTCGAAGCGCCTGGACATCCAGAACAAGCGCTTCTACCTGGACGTCAAGCAGAACGCCAAGGGCCGCTTCCTGAAGATCGCCGAGGTGGGCGCGGGGGGCTCCAAGAGCCGCCTCACCCTCTCCATGGCCGTGGCCGCCGAGTTCCGGGACTACCTGGGCGACTTCATCGAGCACTACGCGCAGCTGGGGCCCAGCAGCCCCGAGCAGCTGGCTCAGGCCTCCCCGGGCGGCGAGGACGGCGGCGGCGGGGTCGGCGGGCCCCGGCGGGCCCTCAAGAGCGAGTTCTTGGTGCGCGAGAACCGCAAATACTACCTGGACCTCAAGGAGAACCAGCGGGGCCGCTTCCTCCGCATCCGCCAGACCATCAACCGCGGGCCGGGCGGAGGAGGCGGAGGAGGAGGCGGCGGCGGGGCCGGCTTCCCCGGCGGGCCTCCGGGCCTCCAGAGCGGCCAGACCATCGCTCTGCCGGCCCAGGGCCTCATCGAGTTCCGCGACGCGCTGGCCAAGCTGATCGACGACTACGGCGCCGACGAGGACGAGCTGGGCGGCGGCGGGGGGCCCGGCGGAGGCCCCGGAGGCGGCGGGGGAGGCCTGTACGGGGAGCTTCCCGAAGGCACCTCCATCACGGTGGACTCCAAGCGCTTCTTCTTCGACGTGGGCTGCAACAAGTACGGCGTCTTCCTGCGCGTCAGCGAGGTGAAGCCTTCCTACCGCAACGCCATCACCGTGCCCTACAAAGCCTGGGCCAAGTTCGGCGGCGCCTTCTGCCGCTACGCCGACGAGATGCGCGACATCCAGGAGCGGCAGCGGGACAAGCTCTACGACCGGCGCGCGGGGCCGGCCGGGCCGGGCAGCGGCAGCGGCGCAGGGGACGACTCCGACGGGGATGATGTGGACGACGACTGAGCCTCTCCTTGCTTCCCTTCCCTCCTCCTTCCTCTTCCTCCTCCTCCTCTCTAAACGATAACAAACCCCCCCCCCCCCAATTTCCCTCCCCAGCAGCCGCCGAGTGGGGGGGGGTGGTGGTTTCCCATGGACCGGGGAGAAGGGGTGGATGGAAATGGGGCGCAACCCGATCCTACTGTTTCCTTCTCCCCGAGGAGAGAGAGAGAGAGAGGGAAAAGCCCTGCCTGCCCGGCCTCCACCCACCCACCGCTTTCTGGAGCAGCCCCTCTCCCGAATTGGCCTCCTTTCCCCCCCTTGCCGTGGCTCCCCCTCCCTCCAGGATGCAGCATCTGTCCCTGAGTTGGCCCAGCTTTAAGCTCTGCCCCCCCTCCCAACCCAGAGAGAGAGAGAGAGAGAGAGAGAGGAATCCCCACGACCTCAGTTAACCTCCCTCCTGGTCTGCAGAATGGAGAAACGGAGGGTCCTTCCTTTACACCCCTGAAAACTGGGATCCTCTCCACCAAGGGATCTGCTCTAGCTTCCCAAGGCTTCTCATCTGCCCCAACAGCTGAAATGTGTGGCGTCTTCTTCTTTCTTCCCCCACTCTCCCCCCCCACCCATCCCTCTCCCTTCCTTCCTTCCCTTCCTTCTTTCCATTTCTTTCTTTCTTAATTTATTGGAGGGGGTTGAAATGGGGAGAGAATTTCATCTGATCTCCTTCTCCCTTTCTCCTCGGGTGCCCTCCCCTCTCCTGCATTTTGAGATCTCGTGTTCCTCCTCCTCCTCCTCCTCCTCCTCCGCTCTCGAAACCAGCATTCTGGAGACTGCATGGCCACCGAGCACAGTTTGGAAAAAGGAAGAAGATGAAGCTGGCACAGCTATCCAAATCCAGCAGCCTAACCGGGCAAGTTGTTTTTTTAAAACAAAACAAAAAAAAACCAAGGATGGTGATCGTAGCCCAATGTGAAGGGGAAAGTTGAAATGGGCCTGGGGGGGTGGGGGGAGAGGCAGGAAAGATGGGAGAAGCAACCCTGAGAATGATGGGTTGGAGAGAGGATGGAGCCTATATCTGGACCAACGTCCACTGTTCTTCTCCTCCTCCTACATTTTTACCCGTAAAGCTACAGGTGCCTGAACTGGAATTGATACGAAATTATTCTAAAGTTGGCAGGTTCTAAAGATCATAATGAGTTTTTCCCCCCACCCACCCATCCTCGGGTGGGTTTGGGGATATGCAAACAGGCAGGTTCAAAAGAGAAGAAAAAAAAAAGGCATAAAGCACAAGGAATGCAGAGCGGACTAGTTGCTGGTCACTAAAGTTCTTCCCCTTCTCTCTAAATAAGGTGAAAGAGCAAAATGGCTTTAGGCTTTAGTAGGAAGTAAAAATTGGAGCTGCCTTTCTCTGGGCTTTAGAAGAAAAAGAAAAAGATGATCTAAGGTGGAATCTGTTCTGCAACTCGCTGGGTTTGAAACACACACACACAAAAAGCATTAAAATCGTAATCTGGTAAAAGAAAAAAAGAACGTGAGGCTTCAAGTCTAAAACAAACAAAAAAAGAATAAATGAGAGGGACACTGAGAGCTGCTTTCGCCATGCAAATAAGTGGACATGCTCTTTGAAAATAGACACCAAGAACCTCAGGTCCAGAAGTCCAGCATCTGTTGTTGTTTTCACAAGATTTTTTTTAACAACCAGAAGAGAACACAATCCATTTCCTCAGTACCTCACGTTATGTTAACACCAATGGATTGTTCAGAGCACCGTCTGCCCTATGGGAGGTTCTTCATCATCATCACACACACACACACACACACAAAAGGAGCAGAATCAAGCCAAGTTCTGTGACTATGAACACGAGCAGCATTTTACCACCTTCAAATTTTACTATAGACTGGCTACTGCCTATTTGTCCAGTTGTCTTTCCCAAGCAGAGTTGCGTCTCCCCACCCAAAGAATTGCTCATCTATATTTTAAATGGATTCTTACCTAAAATGATATTTTTTTAAACAAATGAAGTCAGTCCTATTCCCTCTAAAAAGTGTTTTTAGCTGCAACATTATATACTAGCAACTTTGAATTGAATGGAAATTGCATACTGTTCATTACAAAGTTTCGGGTATCGTTTGTGTGACATCTTAAAAGAGTGCATGCCTGTCGTTTATTTGAGCTGCCTTTTTAATTTATTGCATACCCTTATTTACCTTATTTTGGTATTGCTCTTCTCTATACTGTCTTTGTTTTGTATTTATTAGAAAGCAAAGAGGCATATAAAAGTCATTTTCCTCACTCAGTTGTTGCTGTGGTAGGGAAATTGGCTGGAATTTTTCTAAAAAAATAATAATTGGGTTTTGCTACAGTTATAAAGCTCAGCAAATGTCAGATTAGTTCATCAGAAACATGATTGTTTATTTTAAAAGCTGTTTCTTTATTCCATGTGTTCATGGTAGATCTTATATCCTTGGGGGGGAAAAAATACCCTTTCCATTTTTCTCCGTTGCAAAGAACTTGTTTCCTGAATTGTAATGGGAGCAATAGTATTTCTTGATGTTTTAATTACATCCATATACTTGTACTGTATTTTGTACTCTCTGAGGCAGCTGTTTTCAATAATGTCCTGCTGTATTTACCTATGTATTTTTTTTTGTTTTGTTCTATTGTATTCAGTTCTTTGCTGCGGAGAACAATATTCACCCCCCAAAAAAATTGTCAGCGTACAAGGATCGCAGCCTGGCTAGGACTGCAGAGAACTCTGCTTTTAACTAATGAGACTTTAAAAGGCAGCAATGAAAATGGAGGCCGCAGATGCTTAATATCTATTTGCTGTAACTCTTCATTCAATTTAAAACAGTGTATAATACTTGTATAGACCAACGTTTTTGTTGCGTTAGTGGTAATCCGTTTCCCACCCCTCTTGTTTTGTTTTGTTTTGTTGCTCAGCTGCCATGAGCCAGTTCTTGCAAAGATGCAGTTACCTCTTCTTTTCAAGGAGAACCTTTGGGGGACATGGTGGGAGGAGGGGGTTGGGCTGAATTGTTGTAGTAACTAGCCTTACCTTTCTACTACATGGTAGTGGCAGGATTTTGACTGGTCCCTGGCCAGTGGCTATGGAAGCTATAATTAGCTGCCCAAAAAGTATGTGGAAGCAGACAGAAGCATATCAGTTGTTTCCGCAAGGAGCATTGCCATTTATGGTGTTGCCTTTGGCAACCAGGAAGAGGCTCCTGTGGTCACTGCAGACCGGCTAAACTGATACTGAGTCTATACCAAGTGATCCATGACCCTTCAAGGTGTGGAGTTAGGGTGACAGTGCAAGATGTCAGTAGGGATACTAAGGTGTTGGGCCTGCTTGTGCTCATGTATAACTTACAGGCGTTTTAACTATCCCACAGATAACTGAGGCTGTCGTGCTATGTTAGGTTAGTGCCCAAGATTCTTTTCTAGGGAGAAAATCAATTCTGGTGCCACAAGCCTTGCTTAGGTGCAGCGTATTTCAGCGGGGAAGCCATTCCTTCTGCTTGTTGGAGAACAGGAAAAGAGTTGCCTGAAATCTATATATCTATATCTGTATGTATATATATATATCTTACCTTTCCCCTTGTAGAGCTTAAAATGTCTGGGCTTAAACCCCCAGTGGAGGCTGCCGATACTTCTCAGATGAATTTGGAAGCATGACTTGTTCGTGCTGGAGAGGGCGCCTCCATTGCTTACAGCTAAGCATTAATGAAATCTCTGCCTTCCCAGCCGCAACAGACCATTATCTGAACGTATGCATCCCTGCTCTCTACGTCTGGTAGTTCGCCTCAGCGACCGGTCTCTTGCAGATTGCAGTCGGGCAGCTTGGCGTCCCGTTATGGATAAGCTTTACGGATCACGCGAGGCCGTGTTAGACCACGTTAGCGGGGAAAGAAAAAAAAACCCATTACCCTGGAGATTGAGTCCCAACGCGCGTGAACTTTTAGTATTCCTGTTATACTCCTGTGCTTCAATGTCCATTTGAGTAATGAAAAAGCTTCTCTTATTCTCGGTGCTGCTGCAGTTTTAACTCATATCCTTGGTCTCTTTTCTGCAGCGATGTTTGTGGACTGTGTGATGGTGCATTTGACAAGCTTGCCACATCCTGCACAACCTCACGATGGAAAAACGAGCTTATTGATCCCAAGCGAAGTTTGGGAAACGTGAGGTGTGTTGACATGAGGCGACTTGTGGGACTGCACTGTCATCTTTACGTGTAGATTGTGTAGAGGGGGTGGTGGAAATGGGTAACCTCTGTATCTGGCATTTCTTAGGCGTTGCCCTTAGAATGGTGCATCTGCTGTACAAACAAAATGTAAATCTTGTATAGCACCAAAAAAAAATTGTAAATACGCGAGACATACAGGTATAAACGCCCGTAGCTTTAGCTCACATCTAGTTATGGGCCACGTCCTATTTCCATAGCTATCTGCTTCAGAGTGATTGCAGGCCCTAACGGAGGAGGCTGAGTCTTCTGTTTTTTTTTTTCCTTCTGTTTTTTTCCTCAAAGAGAAAAGCAATTCCCGTTATTTATCCTGGAATCCTCTTTGCACAAAATCACAGATTTATTTTTTTTAGTAAAGATTTTAGCTTCTGCTTTAGTGTCTCTAAAACTACGACGTTTAATGATCCTGTCCTTGCTTGTACTTTTCAGGATAATGGGCGCAAGAGGCAGGTTTCAATAAACCCCTCATATTGAGTGGTCCCTTTGTTTGACGGCACACTTCAGGTATTGGAATAGCTGAAGATGGTTTTTGATTTACTCCCGTCATTTAAAAAAAAATAAAAGTGTAATATATTTGACTATACAAGACAACTGAAAAGTGACTTAACTCAGGCTACTTTTCTTGTGTAAGGGTGGCAGTTTTGTGATTTTGGTAGAAAATTGTTCATTGCATAAACGTGCTTGGACATCTCAAAGTTTTAATAGAAAGATGATGGTACTTGATCTGATGCACAATTTAATCTCTCAGCAGATATTCGCTTTTTTGTTTCTTTTTAAAACACAAAAACAAAATGTGGCCTTGATTCTTTAATAGGAGGAAAGAGAAACTTGCTTTCCATATATGTAAGTGGCACTTTTTTTGGCTTCAAATTCTGCAAGTTCTTTGTAGACATGATATTGATATGCTTCTTCCTTTTATAAGCAAGTGAAATGGTCAATGTATTGAAATATGTTTGCTATGAATTTAGTTTTATAAAGGAACAGGAATGCCCGAGGCTAAATATCTAAAACCTAAAGGACCAATATGCTCTCTTTAAATAGCAGTAATCACAATTATTTCTGAAGAAAGGCAGTGTGGATCATTTTAGTTTCACCAAGCACAATCCTGCTGGCATAGCAGCTACAATACAGACTCAGTGGGTTTATGTCAGATGCCTTGTAATTTTTGTAGCCTATCTGGAGATGATTTGATAGGAATGCTTCCAGATATCTAGTGCCCTTCTCGAAATTAAAAAAAAAAAATTGTAGAAGGCAGAGCAATCAGGTTTGCTGTGCAGTGATAACTCTGCGCATGGATGTTTCCAAGTCAGTACAAATGCCAAGCAGTGACAGGTATATTTCTGGATTCTTTGTTCACTCCAATGAACAACCCATGGTGTAAAAGCATAATTTTCACGGTCGCTTGTTCCCTTGGCCTGAAATATAATCTCTGGTAGTCTGATTCCAGGTGTGTGAGAGGTTTTCCGAAGTCTTGTCCTCTTTGTCGGTATTGGTGCTTTTGTGATAGTTTAGTGTCAGCAAAATTGCAATAGTTAGATGTTGTGCTTGAGCATTCACTGAATCGTTTTGATTGAGGAAATTTTCTTCTTCAATTTGCATAGATTTAATAGATTATGACTACAAGGCGACAGAAAAGTCTGGTTGGAGTGAAATAATTCGCATTTCCCCCCCTTTTGCAGATTCTAAGAAACCTCAGCTTTTGCACTTTGTAGCTTTTATAGCCATTAGTGATTAAACACACACACACACACACACACACACACACACACCAAGATTATGCTTTGTTTTGTTTTGGAGATAATGAGACATTCAGGAGAGGGACGTAGCAAAATCCAATAGCTGTCTCCTGCAGGATTAAAAGAAATTTTAATATCTGAAGCAAACATGCAAACATTGGGATGTAACCATGGATGGATTACTACCTCTTGTACCTGTGAAATCATGGTTCTCTGCAATGGTGCTAGACTTAATTTCACCTTAAATATACTTAGATTGCTCCTCTGTTGTAATGTACAGTACAGTTATTGTTCTCGTTGTGAAATTCCCTATTCTGGTCTAGACATTAAAACAACTATCATGTATGGTTGTGAAAAAGAGAACAGTAACCGAATGGAGATGCTTTTGATTAGCTTGAGCTGAACTGGGTTTTTCAGAGAGCAACCTGTCCTCCCTATTTTCCTGACAAGCCACTTCTCAAAGGAGCAGGTTTTCAAAATAAAGTTTGTAGCACAGTTCTAGTTTGTCAAGAGAAAGAGCCTAAAATTATGCTCAGCATCTACAATTCCCCTGAAACCAGTGAAAGATTTCTAGCCTCTGATTTTCAGCATAAATTCTGTGATTGTGGAATTTAAACTCAGCTCTGTTTATTCATTGGTGTCTAATTTGACACTAATGTGTAGACACTCCATAGGAGTAGAATTCTGGCCAATGGGGTTGCTCCCAATGGCTTATCTTTCACACACAAAAATCATTGGAGGTTTTCTATTGAGAAGCATTAGTCTGCCAACATGTTTACTTAAATAAGGAATATTGACGAATTTACACAGGAGTGAAAGTATTCTTTTGCTACTCTCTTTTGCTGCAACCAAATTTAAAATTTGACCAGGAGATACAGTGCCCACAGTTCCAATATCTACTAACAAATGCCAACAAAATTTTATCTCTGAATTTTGGCGTAAGGAAGGTTTAGTGTGCTTTGTCAAAGCCATTTGTAATATGCTGCTATGTAGCCTTAATATTGTAATGTATTGTGTGTGTATATATATGTACATATACACTTAAATACAAAGTAAGTAACCTACAGCGAAGAAGCAGAAGGTTGTGGTTTGTTGAAGCTGGCTCCTGCTTTGTGTAGCCAAGATAGATTGTTTTTAAAACTTGCAGAAAGAAAATAATTTAAAACAGCAGTCACCGCTCATCGTTTTAACTTAGGCAAATGTCCAAGCCCAAAAATTTAATTTCTTGCCCTGGTTTTTTGTTGTTGTTTTGTGCTGAAAGGCCTTCTGCTGAGAAAATTCCCACATTTGAATTTAAGTGGGATTTACAAGCAGAACACAGTTTAAGGTTTTTCATGTTTTTTCCCCCCCTCTCATGAAAATTATCGCCCATGATGTTTCAGTTGAGGATGCTATGGTAGGTGTGTTCCTGAGTGAGCTGGCTTGTGCAGAATCCTTGAATAGTTGAACCTGGCCACTTTTTGTAGGAGAAGGGGTGGCAGAACTTCGGAAGACACCCACCTATTAATTAACTTTCCCCCGCTTTGGCACGTTGGCCTTGAGTATATATCGAATAGCCCCTCTTCTTCTGGTACCTGGGTAGTGTGTTGTTGCTGAAAGTAGAGGCTCATTGCGGCTAGTTTCTGGAAAGGTTAGCCAGAAGGATGATCTTTTAACACTTCTGCAAAAAAAAGTCCCCCGTTCCCCCCCCACCACCTGATTATCTATAGATCCAGGGCTCCTCGGAGTTTTAACAAGGGTGCTAGACAAAGCTAAGAGCTCATCACCACTCCGTGACAAGGCTTTTTTGCAGTGCCACTGATGCCCAAGCTAGGAGAAACCTACTTGGAATATAGGTTCTCCAAGGTTGGGACATGAACAAAACTCCAATGAGCTTTGAGCAGCGGCTGTTCTTGTGGTAAGGAATTTATTCTTGCTAATGTTACTGTTGCCAGGCCTTGAAGTGGCTGGCAGTCTTCCACGTTCTCCCAAAACCACTGGAACAAACGCTTTCGTTCCGATTTTGGAAACCCTGCGCTTTTTTTTTGCAACTAAGTTGAACAAACATTTGCACAATGGGAGGATTTGCACAAACATGTTCTGCATTGGAACGATGCAAAGTTTCCCCCCCCCCCTGCCCCCCCCCCCCCCCCCCGCGGAAGAGGCTAATAATCAACTCGTCCGAAGTTCGGTCGTCCCCCCCCCCCCCGTAGTTAAATCAGTTGCTAAAAGTTCTGCCAGTGGGTTTCTCAAAAGCTAAAAGGTCAGGATGATGAAGAAAAATAAAATAAAACAAATGGCCAAGTTATAGGGAACCAGTACAGACCAGGCAGTGGAAATTTGCTGGGCTGAATGTATAATGTCAGAAAGTAAGCAAATAATTTGAGTTTGATGTGGCATTCACCCAAACTTGTGCAAGTGATAATTGATCATATAACAGATGTACTCAGCCAACCCATTTGTAAATATACACATGTTTGTACATTGTATACATAGAAACAGATGTCCGTGTACATGTGTATGTATTTATAAAATTGTTTCTCTGCTAGATGCAAAAGTAGCTCTAATTTTATATTATTATAATATATATATATATATATACATATACACAAAAAGGCTCCCCTCTATAAATATATAAATGCTAGAAATTTGTAGTAACATAGGACTGATTTTCAGGAATATCTGCTGAGAGACCAAAAAGTTCACTTTTAAGTACCTTAATTAAAAAAAAAAAAGTTTATTCCTCTTGTTTATTTTTTTATTAAAATTAAAATGCACTTTAACTGGCAACCTACATACGCAGATCTAGCTGCACGGTGCAGCTTCAGACTTAGAAATGTGGTAAAAAGTGCAGCACCCATTGAAAAGACCGAGGACGATTCCTTTCTCACCTGCCAAGCAGAGCGCTGGAAATGAGTTCAAATCCTCCCGCAGGATCAAGAGCTGCCTGTTGTCTTGCTGCCCATTGGCTGAAGCTTAGGTTCTGATTTCCCGGGGAGGGGTGGGGTGGGGCGCGGGGTGGGGTGGGGCACGGGGGGGGAGGGGGGGCTAGCAGGACTGCTTTTTAAAGAGGCTGTTGTCAAAATAGGCAGGTCCTGGATTTACCACTAGCTAACGAGCAAAAGAAGAAGAAGAAAAAAGAAAGAAGAAGAAGAATGTCCACGTGACCTGAATAATTCCTCATGCTAGTTTGAGCACTCCTTAAAATAGCAGGTTTTTGCAAATGGAGTTTTACAGTCTATATTTAAAAATTGTATGTTTGTAACAAATAAAAAGTATGCGGAAAAGTGAATGAACCATCCTTCATTGTCTGCCTGCCTGGTTTTTGTTTTGTAATGTGGTGGGGTTAAGATATATATATATATATTTTTCAGGCTGGAGAGATTGCGCGCTTTATAACGGGGGTCTCCAACTTTGGCAACTTTAAGCCTGGGTCCACCAAGCTTAAAGTTTGCCAAGGTTGGAGACCCCTGCTTTATAACATGCAAGGGAATTTCTCTGTGTGTGTGTGTGAGAGAGAGAGAGAGAGGAGGGGTGGGCTCTGTTGGGACTTTTGCAAATGGAATTATTGCAAGGTGAAACACGACAGGTTTTTGGGGGGAGGGAGGGAATAGCCCATGTAGATGAGAAAATCAAAAAAGGTGGTGCAAGGTGACGAAAAGAAGGAGCATGTGGCGTTACTAGCCAGTCGCTCCTGAATTACAACTTTTATGGGTGTGAAGGGTGAGTTCTATTAAAATTTCATTTGGGGAACAGAGCCGCTTGTGCTTCTGGGTGGCCGTGCTGCCATTTTCTTGTAAATAGTTCTGGATTTATTCCATGCTGATTTTTTTTAAGAGTTGCCACCCCAGCAGGCCAGCTACACTGTTCTTACTCATTTTTGACCAGTGAGTAATAGTTGCACAACCGATTGGCTTTGCCTGTGCTAAGCGATGATTTGTTGGCTCCAGCCAAATTCTAGTTGCACAAAATGGTTCGCCATAAGCCAGACCTATGAGCCTTAGTGATTGGGCGTATACTATGTCCTAAGCCCAAATCCAATCTCATTAGGGCCTTAAAGACAATAGAGTCATGTACCTCAGCCTTGGCAGTTTGAAGATGTGTGGACTTCAGCTCCCAGAATTCCGTGCTGGCTGGGGAATTCTGGGAGTTGGAAGTCCACACATCTTCAAGCTGCCACGGTTGAGAAACACTGCAATAGAACGTCTGGACTCCAGTTTTAGGAATAAGTACTAATTGTAGCATAGAAGGAAACTGAGGCTGAGAAAGAAGCTGGTTTGTGGTCCATCCAAGGGCTGTTGGCCTGGCATTTGAAAGCAAATTTTTTTAGGAATAATTGGCCTGCCGGAGCACATCACGTCTTGCTTTAAATCTCATCCTCCAGATTTAACTCTGTTCCTGTTCAATATAGAGATACGGTTTGCCACTGTCCTCTTCCAAATAGTTTATTGTGGCTTCGAGGTTTTTGGACTTCAAAGCACCAAAGCCAAGCTAGGGTTGGTTTTATCCATGGAGCTGCACATGCTGGTACCAGGAGAGCAAGCTCCCAGATCGCTGTTTGTAGTCATTTCCATTCCAAATTTTGCAACTGCCAATATTGCAGGCCAGAGTAATTGGTTAGGGTTTGGTTTGGATTTTTTGTACAAAAAACATCCAACTGTTCGTATCATAGGAGGTCTGTTGGATATGTTCACTGCCTTGAGTTATTTGTATAAATAATAAAGGCAAGATGCAAGTAAATATTAAAATAAAAAAATGGAGCAGGTAGAACATTCCAAATTTACAGAATTGAACTTGGCGATTTGAAGAATGATTAAACCCATGGAATTATCCGTAATTTGAAAACGTGCTGAATAAAAGAAAAAATGCCCAAGAAATAGGTACAATGCAAGGGTGCAAAAATAAATATACTGTGCAATATTGGACACAGAATTCACCTGGTGATTGTGATTGTTTTAAAAAGCAAAGACACATTTTTAGTCCACATGATGGCAAATATTTATTTATGAAATAACCAATCTTTTATTCAAAGTTAGCAGAGCCTACTGAGTATTCCTTTTGTCTGAGCCTCAAAATAGAGTGAGCTTAACAGGGAGTGCCTTGAAATCGGATGCTTGTTCTTTAAGGTAGGTTAAAAGTTAAAAAAAAAAAAATTCTAGTTACAGAAGGCAGGCCTTTTTTCAGAAGTCACGGGGCCCTACTTTACAATTTTTGCAAATGGGAGAAGAAATCTGAGCGACTTTCACCCAGCCTCCCTCTCTCTCTCTCTCTCTCAACCCAACCTGTTTTTATGGAGGTACAACTAAGAGGCACTCCTGTGTAAGCTGCGTTGAGCTCATGGAAGAAATGTGTGACATAAATCTTAACTATATAAAAGTAAGAGATAACACTGCAGGACAAAGGGCATAGAATGCTATGTGCAAAAAATGCTGAAAACTGCACTCTTAAATCTGCATATCATGGGATTCTCCCTATAGATACTTTGGCCTTACCATGGGATAATTCAACCCCGTTTTCGTTCCTCTGGGCAGCACTGCACCAATCCTTGTCGATCAAACGTTGTATGTGGAATATTGGGGCCAAAGATACACTCTGCAAAAGGTTTCCGTGTACTACCGTTGCAGCTTATTCAGCTCAGGTTACAGCACTTGATACCTGTTGATTTACCTGCTAGATACCTAGCTGGCAGACTGCTGGTTAAGTGTAAAGGCAAAACTTCTACGAGTAGGGGAATTTGGGGTACATACTACAAGGGAAACGAAATGGATTGAATCCTTTGTCAGTCCAAAAGAGGCTACAAAGCACTAGTAAAGCCCAAGTAGCACATTGAGGCTCTCTAATGATAAAGAGTGCAGCTTCCATTGATTTAAGACAGTTTTTTTTTAATCTCGGGGGGGGGGGATTTTTTATTTATTTTTTGCTGCTGCTTTGCGTTCCACCTTCTAAGTATTCCGCTCTCTGATGCCGTTCTCAACCCAAAGAGACCACACTACAAACCAGAGTAAGCAATTTTATTTCGAAAGGAAATGGGGAAATTTACAGGAACTGATGGAATTTTTTTTAAAAAAAAACTTTTCTTGGCTATAATTTTTGCATTTTCTCCTTTCTGCATCAGGCTCTGACCATATATATTCCACTCGATTCTCCATTTGGGACCAAAACATCCTTGTTCCTAGGG